AACAAACAGAGATAACACTATGAACATATAGAAATGCACATAAACGCAAAAATGCATTGTCGTCTTCTCCCCTAGTGACCTAGTGATGTATAACATCAAAGCAAATGTGGTGAGCACTGGTCTACTTTGGTAAATTATGGCCATCATGCAGTATGTCTCGACACAGAAGGTACATGACTGTCTTTATTTTATATTGCTTGTAGAAGATTTCGATCAAGATTGATTTACAAAAATATAAAAAAAAAAAAGTAAAATAATTATCTAATAAACTACAAAATCCTCCATGTGTATGTACTATTTCTTATTAATAGGGATGTAGGTGCCTAACTCCGAGTGGTACTAATTCCAGAACACGGTCAGTCACTGTGATATTTCGGGAATACCCATATGATGTGATTTCTAGTTTCTCACACAATTGAGTCATGTGAAATGAACAAAAAAAAATGAAAACAAAAAGCCTAAATTGTGCATTGAAGAAATGTTGCAGTGATAGGGCTAATGTTTAAGCTGACTCAAGTAGTGTGGTACATACACTATATCAGCAAAATACACTCGATGAACACCAAGTTATATAAAAATATTGCACATCAAGTGTCCCCAAAGAAACACACTGTTACAATACTGTTACATGGTGACATAGATAATCAGTGCTGCCATCAAATACCGAAAGACAAAACGTTATCTGAAACTGTATAGTTTCAACGATGTTCAAAGCAATGTAATCATAAATCACAGACAATGAATCATCCACGTATCTAAGTATGAATGCTCTGTACAGTTTTTTTTTTTAAAAAAGGATGTTTTTTTTTCAAATTTATAACATATCAGTAGTCTATATTGAGTGTGAATAGACTGTATATATGTGACTATATTTGAATATATTTTCTTTCCAATTATCCTGATTTCTTTTTTAAGGAAAATTAGTATTTATTTGTAACATAAATCCAGAAAAATGCAAAACTTATTTGGAGAGAATTTGTACACACCCACTACCATTTAACATGGAAATATTACGGTTAATATTTAATAAGCAATGACTGTAACCATTGATTTGTGCTGCATGTAACAGTCACTGTTATACTATGACATGGTGTTGTCACTGTACAGATTACTGATTATATTAGAACAAACTGTCCTTTGTCTAGATTTGGTGATTTGCACGTCATCCAACCTTCGGTATCCTGACATGCCTGATCAATGAATACGGCAGATTATTAATTTGGTCCTATACATGGCAGCGCTATTTATATATGTTTTGACCTATTTCCAGTCCACAGAGCGCCACACTCTGAACAAAGAGACAGGTTGGAGTATTACAGTGTATCTCACACAGATACATGTGGCAAATGGTTTAGATTGAACCTGTTCCTTAGTGTCTACTAATTGTGCATAAAGGGAATGAGAGTTTATAAGCACGTGCCTTATGTTTTATAGCTTAAATCACAGGATTGGTACAATATTAGGCCTTACTGCTACACCACTATTAACCATTGCAACATAACATTTGGTAAAAGAATATTTGATTCATGGTATGTTTTTTTAAATTATAATTACAGACTGCATACTTGCTTTGCATTCAATAAGCTTGAAAGAAAACTAGCGCAGAATGACAATGATATTGTCACATTGCCAGCTGCCTCCACTGTCATTCATCCTATACAATTTAAACTCTGATTTGTATCAATTCTGATGTTGGACGCTGAGCTACTGCACCCGTTTATTCTGTTGGCATCTTAACGTCGTTCTATAGATGTCATGTCCACACGCATCAAACCAATGTAAAGTGTTTGCAAATTCAGGATACGAAAGATGAGTGATGAGGCCATAAGATATTCCGAAACAAGCTATCAGATATACTTCTAGGATGTCTAATCATGGCTGTCACTGGTGCTCACGGTATTTTTCTAGCCCTAGTATTCCTTGTTATTGATCCAGCTTGTTTAGTGTTTGCCCTGTCGTATGGTATCCCTTAGACTTGTGCTTTCAGTTTCAGATGATTGGAATTTGTCCAAACTTTGGGTGATCAGAGATTTCTCTGAAATCCTGAAGTCTGCATTGCGATATGGACGAATCATGAAGCAAATGAAATGAACATTAAATGAGCTGTACTTGTTTGTTGCAAAATGACTAATGGGGGGGGGGGGCAGCATTAAAATAAACAAAACTATATTCTGTATAATAGTATATAAATAAAGATTTTTTTACAGCTACGTTTTCATACTTCTATTGGTTACTTCTTCTCACTTGAACTGTGAACCAGATTGTGTGAAAACATGCCTCCCCTTGTACTACAAATATATACATAATATTTATATAATAGGTGTATTTTCACACTGGTCCAGCCAAATAGTTTTTCCCAAAATGATAGCATAGATGAATTATGTCTGAACCAAAATGCCGAATGGCCAAAACCCAAATTGCCAGGAACAATTTTTATTTTCTACAAACAACAATGGTGGATTTATTACCAGGTCTTGAATGGTTGCTGTACAGGATATAGTGAAAAATTATTGCACAATTTTTATGCTGTGTATTGTTGGGAATATTTGCACATTTATATTGCATTGCGCCACTTTACCATTTATTTTTATTTGTGACATTTTTTGGACAAATCAATTTGGACAAACCAAATTTTTCCACTTTGCACAAGTCTAGTATGCTTAGATGTTAATCATGTTCTTCTGGCATTTCTTAACCTTATGCTTTACTTTGAGTACACAGTCCAGAATATACTCTTCTCCCTGGAGACTCTTCACTTTAAGTCTGCCCATTGTAATGACCATTTGTAGGCCATTGGCCCCCGCAGCACAGTCTCCCAGTATATTGTAAAAGATTCTAAATCCAAGAGAAACAAAACATCTAAGGCAATATATAAGGACACCAAATGTTCAGATTGTCATTATTGGACATGATTCATCACCCACTATAGGATATATCATCAGATCTTCGTATCAGCAGTTCCGTGTTCATCCAGAGTATATCTGGGTAAAAACAAATGGAAGTGCAGAACATTCAGAAACACAAGAACGTGAGTACAAATGCAGCAGTTACAACATTTAAAAATATTCACAGTGAATTTCAAATGTAACGTTAGAGTAGCCAAACTAACTGCATCGATAGCTTAGAGAATTTTTCCAGTTTGACTGTTTTGGCATTAAATTTGAAATTCACTGAAATTCACAAACAGGTCTTTACAAGAATACATTTACATACACACCTCCTTACCTTTCTCAGGGAGGGTCTCCATGCTGCCCACCATGCCTAGTTTTGGGGGAGCAGAAGAGCTCAGCCTTCACTCCTGCTCACGACTGGTAAGTACACATTTGCAAAGATATGACATCCCATTCTCACACCTTTAGCCTGTTTCAGTGTTACTATTTGGTGTCTATGCTTGCCAGGCAAATGGTGGCACCCACAGAAGTAAGGGTGAGGCCTGCTCAATTGTGGTACTCACACCAGCAGGGCAGAGATTTGATTTATACTCAACAGAATAGGAATCTTAAAGAAACACTCCAATACAGCACAATGTATTAGTTGTTGTTCCAGGAAAATCCTCGTAAACTCTCAAAGTAAGTAGTCAAACCATTCTAAGAATGTTTGACAACTTACCTGGGCACCATCTTCTATGCAGTGGAACGCTCCTGCCACTGAGGAAGGCCGGATGCTGCCCGCTAACGAGCCATCCACATATTTTTGTGGAGCTCAAATAAGCTCAGTGCAGGAGCATTCAGCTGCAGAAGAGGCAGAGGCAGACTGTAGTGGTTATGGTACTTAGAGTTTTCCTTTAGGTTACTATAAATATGGTGCAATGACAGTTTCCTGTTAGAATCAGAAATCCAGTACTAATGCCGTGGCTGCCTTTCAACAACTTAGTTCCGTTTATCTGAAATCATTTATGGTATGTTATACAATATCTCAATGCTTCTGCATAAAAAACGGGCACAAAATGAAGCCAAGTAATTCAATCCATGTGAAATGTTCAGAATACATTTTGTTTTACAAAGTACATTAAATAGATTGGATGTCTCTAATGTGTCATAAATCAGGACTAAGGAGAGTCCAAGGCACTCTCAAGGAGTTTGCTGTAGCAGCAAAAATAATACGTTATGGGGGCACTCCATGGGGGATTTTACCTGGCATTTTTCAATACACTCTAAACATACATTTAAAAATATGTAAACATTTAATAAAAAAAAAAACATACGTATATTTTAACATGAATGTAAAGAAGAAACATCAAGGCTCTCATCATTTCACCAGAGGTGTTTATTTCAAGCAGGTTGTGATTGAGATATCTCTGCCAATCCATGAGATCTGAAAACCAACTGGAAAATCAGTGAATATGCATGTAGTGAATGTGCTTTTCCATATTAATTAATAGAGGGAATTTAGGTGACTGGAAACTGCAGGTCGATTAGTATATACACTGAAAAGCCACAACATTAAAACTACCTGCCTAAAATCATGCAGGTCTCTAGTTCTGATGCATTGAGGCATGGACTCCACAAGACCTCTGAACGTGTCCTGTGGTATATGGCACCAGGACATTAGCAGCAGATCCTTTAAATCCTGCAAGTTGCGAGGTGGGGCATCCATGGATGAGATTTTTTGTTCCAGTACATCCCACACATGCTCAATCGGATTGAGATCTAGGGAATTTGAAAGGCCAAGGCAACACCGTGAACATTTACCTAAACCATTCCTGAACCAAGTTTACAGTGTGGTAGGGTGCATTATCCTGCTGAAAGAGGCGACTGCCTTCAGGATACACCATTGCCATGAAGGGGTGTTTGTGGTCTGCAACAATCTCTAAGTAGGTGGTACGTGGTAAATAACATCCACATAATTGCCAGGACCCAAGGTTTCCCAGAAGAACATTGCTCAGAGCATAATACTGCTTTTGTTGGCCGCCTTTTTCCCATAGTCATCCTTCTGTCATCTCTTCCCTAGGTAAACGACGCACATACACCTGACTATCCACATGATTCATCAGACGAGGGCAACTTTCTTCCATTGCTCCATGGTCTAGTTCTGATGCTCAGATCCAAAGCGAAGAAGCATTAGGTGGTGGACAGGGGTTGTCATGAGCACTCTGACCGGTCAGCTACACAGCAAACTACAATGCCCATTCTGCTTACAAAACAGATGAAATTAAAGAACTTACTCTACACTTGCTGACTAATATATCCCACCCCTTGACAGGTGCCTTTTAAACGATATAATTAATGTTAATAACGTCACCCGTCAGTGGTTTTGAATGTAGTGGCTGATCAACGTATGTGATTAAACACTGCATTTGTTTTTCTTTCTTTTTTGTTTGTTTTTTTGCAGCATACAGTTGTTTTACACTTGATAGTTTTAGCATGTCCATTTCAGAGGCATCACTAAGGGGTACCAGAGGGTGCCATGGCCCCTACTACATCATGTCATGCCCCCCCCCCTTCCTTAAATGCAGGCTCTGTATCAAGGGCCGGCCTTAGGGGTGAGCTTACAGAAATATTGCGGTGGGGTCGGGGATAACCATGCGGCTGGGCAGGGCTAAATGACGGTAGGGGCAGAGCTAAAAGTGCCCAGAAGATATGCTGGTCATGAGAGCCAAAATATGACGTGGCAGAGCAGGAGTATTACAGCTCCATCGCTGCCTCTGATGTCTTCACAGCCACCCGCCTCACAGCAGTCCCACTGGACCCCAGGGACAGATCCACTCCATCTCTCCCAAAGGTAGGGAGGCTGGGTGGACAAATTAAAATACTATTAGCAATTTGTGAGTGTGCATAAGAGTTAATGTGTGTGTGAGTGTGCGTATGTCTGTCAGTGAATGTGTGTGTGTTTGTGAGTGAATTTGTAAGTGTCTGTCTGTGAGTGTCTGTCACTTCAGGGAGAGTCTGTTTGTCATTGAGTATTTGTGTGCATGTCAGCGTGTGTCTGACAGTGAGTGTGTGTCTGTCTGTCAGTGAGTGGGTCAGTGACTGTGTGTGTGTATGACAGTGAGTGCAAGTGTCTCTGAGAGTGTGTTTGTGTCAGTGTGTGTCTGTCAGTTAACGTGTGGGTTAGTTAAACAGTGTGTGAGACAATGACTGTCTTTCAGTGAGTGTGTATCAGTGAGGTCATGTTGTCTGTCAGTCTACCCATCCCCACTGTCATCCCCACACACTGCTCCCCACACTTTCACCTTTCTACACACTGCACCGCAGTACTGTCACCTTCCATCCCACAGGTAAGAGGCAGATAGGGGGGGGATAAGCCCAATTTAATTTAAACAGCACAACCCACAGCACTTATCCAACACTACATGCACTACACAGACACTATTACTAGACACTACTAATATATATATATTTTATTTTATATACACACACACACATTTTAAAACTGCCCCCGTACTTTTGTCCCTCGCCCACCATGTGCCCCCCACCCCCTAGATAAGAATCCTAGAGATGCCACTGGTCCTCTCAAAAGTGAGAGCAGTAGGGGGTAGCAATAGTAAACATTTTTTTTGCGGGGGGTGGGGGGGAATGCACAAACTATCACTAACATCTTTTGTTAGACTGTCTCCAACACTCAACTGTATGCGCTACATAGAAACATAGAAACACAGAAACATAGAATGTGACGGCGGATAAGAACCATTCGGCCCATCTAGTCTGCCCAATTTTCTAAATACTTTCATTAGTCCCTAGCCTTATCTTATAGTTAGGATAGCCTTATGCCTATCCCACGCATGCTTAAACTCCTTTACTGTGTTAACCTATACCACTTCAGCTGGAAGGCTATTCCATGCATCCACTACACTATCAGTAAAGTAATACTTCCTGATATTATTTTTAAACCTTTGTCCCTCTAATTTAAGATTCCAATTGTCCTCTTGTTGTGGTAGTTTTTCCTTCTTTTAAATATAGTCTCCTCCTTTACTGTGTTGATTCCCTTTATATATTTAAATGTTTCTATCATATCCCCCCTGTCTCGTCTTTCCTCCAAGCTATACATGTTAAGATCCTTTAACCTTTCCTGGTAAGTTTTATCCCGCAATCCATGAACCAGTTTAGTAGCCCTTCTCTGAACCCTCTCTAAGGTATCAATATCCTTCTGAAGATACGGGCTCCAGTACTGTGTACAATACTCCAAGTGAGGTCTCACCAGTGCTCTGTACAATGGCATGAGCCCTTCCCTCTTTCTACTGCTAATACCTCTCCCTATACAACCAAGCATTCTGCTAGCATTTCCTGCTGCTCTATTACATTGTCTGCCTACCTTACATTGTCTGCGCTAGAAACTTAAAAAATTATTATTTCCTTGATGCTCTATTATACACAATTTGTACTTGTGGAAATTGTGCTTTTGAAGAACTTAAAATACAATTATTTAAAAAGTAATAAAATGACATTAAAAAAAATAACATAACATTGTAAAAAGATGGTACCCATGAAGGCCTATAGTTCGGCTTCCTCGGATGAGGACATCCAGCCAGCTAAATTATCCACATTTGCCCAGAAAACCTAAAGTCTCTCTGCGGACCTCTATCCTTGGGAACATTGCCCCTTCAACTAAAGATGACATAAATGCATTGCTGCATGATATTTCAATGTTCCAGGAACACGTGCCAGAGGTGTGGGAGGAGATGGCTGCTATTACTGGCAGAATCACTGCAGTGGAGGAAGATTTGGGGACCATGAGGGTGGCGCAGACAGCCATGCATGCGGCCCTCAACTCTATACAGAAATGCTATGCAGACCTGTCCAACCGCATGGCTAACTTTGAGGATGGGGCCAAGAAAGTGCGGCTCTGGGGGGTTTATGGCCGAAGAATTGCCTCACTTTATCAGACGGCCCCTCTCTAACCTGTTGCCCCTGAAACAGGTAAGGCCGTCAGGGCACCTCCAGAGGCCCCAAGGGATGATTACCCAGTTACTCTCAGAGGTGTCTTCTCTATTTGCAGGGATGGGGCTACCTAAAGACTCCATCTCAGCAGTGATCCATCCTTCTTGGTCCATCGATTGAATGATAACATTAGTGCCAAGAACAGTTGCACTAAGGTCTAGCAAACCAGCGAAGCATGACTGGCATACTGGCAAAGGCTGAATGGTTTAATATGTGTTTAAGTTTAGTTACACTCAGAGCCTCGACCTTACAGGGGCAGTTATTTTAAGTTTTGTTTTATTTTTATTTTTGCAGTGCTCCGACTGAGCTGACACTCAGTAAGAGACGTATAGCATCCTCCATAACCACCCTCGCCGTGTCCTTTCTTACGGATTTCAGTGAGAATTCAAAGAGAATATATAAATTGAAAAAGTTAGCTATGCATTCTACTTCTTTAGCCTAAAATTTGAAATGCACTTTGAATTCTCACTTTAGTGAATAAACCTGTATTTTTAAACAGAGCTACTTTAAATAAAGAAACACTATAGGGTCAGGAACACAGACATGTATTCCTGACCGTATGGTGCTAAACCCACCATTAAGGTGGCTTGCCCGCTCTTACCCCCCCTTAAAAACATGAAAAACTCACCTTATTTCTAGCGCCGTGCGGGTCTGCCGGCATTGGCCCTGCCCCCTTAGTGACATAATCAGAATTGCTGATTTTTAGCCAAACCAATGCTTTCCACAGGGAAGCATTAGATTGGCTAAAACCATCAAGGGGTGGGGCCAAACACTGTTTTGGCCAATCAGCACCTCCTCATAGAGATGCATTGAATCAATGCATCTCTATGAGAAAAAATCAGCTTCTCCATGCAGAGCGTGGGGACACTGAACTGCAGGGCTGCTTACTATGCAGCACTGAGCCAGGAAGCACCTCTAGTGACCATCTGAGGAGTGGCCACTTGGAGGTGTCCCTAGGGGCAATGTAAACACTGCCTTTTCTCAGAATTTGCCTTTTCTCATATAATGATACATTAAAGGACCACTCTAGGCACCCAGACCACTTCAGCTTAATGAAGTGGTCTGGGTGCCAGGTCCTGCTAGGGTTAACCCATTTTTTTTATAAACATAGCAGTTTCTTTGCTATGTTTATAAATGGGTTAAGCCTTACCCCAAAGCCTCTAGCGGCTGTCTCATTGACAGCCGCTAGAGGCGCTTGCGTGCTTCTCACTGTGATTTTCACAGTGAGAACACGCAAGCGTCCATAGGAAAGCATTGTGAATGCTTTCCTATGCGACCGGCTGAATGCGCGCGCAGCTCTTGCCGTGTGTGCGCATTCAGACGAATGGGCGGAGAGGAGGAGGATCGGAGGAGGAGAGCTCCCCGCCCAGTGCTGGAAAAAGGTAAGTTTTTCCCCCTTTCCCCCTTCCAGAGTCGGGCGGGAGGGGGACCCTGAGGGTGGGGGCACCCTCAGGGCACTATAGTGCCAGGAAAACGAGTATGTTTTCCTGGCACTATAGTGGTCCTTTAAGATGTAGTTTTTCTGGTGACTATAGTATACCTTTAATATCATAATAACAGACAAAATAACATTAAACCTTCTCTGAGTCAAAACACAGCCGGCGGCGTAGCTGTTTATCACACTGTCTGTTATATTTAGTTAGCCCTCATAGATAGAGCTTGTTTTTATTTTAAATCACCAACGTAAACATGCTGACTGTTGCTGGAATAAGCCCACATGGGCTCTATTTTCTATAGACTGAATTCCTAACAACTGGTTTACTTATTTCTGCCAGTTTAAGTATAATCCTAGTTTTCTTTTTCATTTTTTCTTTATATATTATTTTTAATGCGCTTGCCAAATCTATTAAGTTGTACTATAAATTTTCTAGCCAAATTCAGCAGCCAAGTTAATTGACAAATTAACTGGCTGTCATGTCAGTGAAACTTAACTGAATCCATCTCAAAAGGGACACCGATCTTTATAAATACAGCTGCTGTTTTGAAGAATACTAATACTAGTCATAACTAACTGGGGCTTTTGGCAAATAACAGACTTGTATTCCTACTGTAGTGGGAGTTAGCATTCTCCTTTCATGCCTAATATCGCAGGAAAGATTATATGATCCCAACAGGAAATGTTGTTATTATTAATATGGGCATCTATATTTCTCAAACTTATTCCACAGCGCATTATTATTAAAGGGGTAATTTTACAACAAGTGAGACAGACTATTACAAATTTTGTGAGGAATGCTAGGCAGATGAGCTTACAATCTAGACAGTATATGCCATATCCCCCCACACCAAGTTCAATTATATTTAATTTTAGATTCTATTAAACAGTA